GGAAAGATGGGGTTTCACCATGCTGGCCAGGCTGGTCTCAAACTCCTGACCTCAAGTGATCAGCCCTTCTCAGCCTCCCAAAGTGCTGGGATTACAGGCATGAGTCACTGCACCCAGCCCAAACATTTTCTTTATATGCGCATATTAGAAGCACCACTTAGAAGCACTATTTTGCCATATGCCCCCAAATAATACTGAAATTACATTATTGCTTCTGCCTACGCCATCTACCAAGGCTGGCTGGCCCCCATTGTACCTTTTAAAGACATCAATATACGGAAAGGAAAAGAACAAATTAGTAGGAGACTGTCCCCAAGACAAAAAGATGAAGGAACACCAAAAGAAATGTAAAAAAGCAAATCAGTCATGGTTTAAAAATGGACTCATGGCTCCATCTCTACTGAGAAATAAACTTCCCCTCAAAATTTTATGGGTCACTGAAATTGTAGTATAGTTCAGTCAAGGGATATATTTTAAAGCCTATTATTAGATTATAGCATACTCACAGCTCACTGCAGCCTTGATCTAAGCCTCCTGAGTAACTGAGACCATAGGCATGTGCCATCATGTCCAGGTAATTTTTGTACTTTTTGTAGCGACAGGGTTTCACCATGTGGCTCAGGCTGGTCTCAAGTGATCTGCCAGCCTCAGCTTCCCAAAGTACTAGGATTAGAGGCGTGAGCCACTGCGCCTAGCCCACAGTTTTTAAAAATGTATTAATTATTTCCTTAGAAAGTTCCTCATTCTATGAATTTCCACATAACATTTGCTACAAAATAATCTCATGAACATACTGCTGTCTCATCCTGATATATCTGAATATGCACTCTCCAGTCAGAGGGTAAATAAAGACAAAACAACAGGCTATACATATTCTGGACACCAGGTTCATAAACAGATAAGGACTTTTACACTGGCTGAGTGGATTGCCTGTGCATCTTAATTGTGTGCTGTTTCCTACCTACCCATTCCATTGTTTAACTTCTGCCCCTGGGATGACCAACTCTCCTGGTTTGCCTGGGACTGAGAAGGCTTCCAGGGCATGGGACTTTCAGTATTAAAATCAGAAAAGTCTCAGGCAAAAACTCAGGACGAGTTTGGCCACCCTCTTCAGAAGCCTTCTTGCAAAAACCACCACCCTATCCTCCTGGCCCACCTCAGCCTCCCAAAGTGCTGGGATTACAGGTATAAGCCACCATGCCCAGCCTTATACATGCATATTTTATATGCAGGCACAGCTATATGTGCTTTTTATATGCCTAGAAAATATCTAGAAAGATGCAGAAGGGTATTTTTCACTCTATAACTTAGAAACTCTAAATTTTTTGCCATGATCATATTACTTTTACAATAAACAGCCTTTTTTTTTTTTTTTTTTTTCTTTGAGATGAAGTCCTGCTCTGTTGCCAGGCTAGAATGCAGTGGTGCAATCTCGGCTCACTGCAACCTCCACCTCCTGGGTTCAAGCGATTCTCCTGCCTCAGTCTCCCGAGTAGCTGGGTCTACAGGCACATGCCACCATGCCCAGCTAATTTTTGTCTTTTTAGTAGAGACATGGTTTCACCATGTTGGCCAGGATGATCTCAATCTCCTGACCTCTTGATCTGCCGGTCATGGCCTCCTAAAGTGCTGGGATTACAGGTGTGATCCACCACCCCCAGCCAATACAAACAGCATTTTAAAAAACTACTTTAAGTAAACTTTTTTCATATCAAACATTATGAGTTTTTTATTAAAGATAAAATGGTCCCAACACAGGAGTTTTAAGTTAAGGAATAACTAAATAATAAATATCTATTCTATGCCAAATAGATAAATCTAAGTTAGTTACAGGGCATTTATATCTTCAAGACAACTCTCTTGGTAGAGTCAAATGGACCAAGTTCTGACTTCAGCTGTGCTATGCTCTTGACCACAGGAAGTAACATAAACTCTCTAGGCCCCAATTTCTACCTTTATCAAATGGATATAATAAATAGCACCCACTGTCTAGGGTGAGTATAGAGTACCCAGCAGAGCTTCAACACATAGCAAATAAGTTATGGTAGCCAGTAGCATCTGAAGTTGTAGTAGTGATGTGCTACCCCTAAGACCCATTAAGAAGGTTCTAGATCCCTCTCCCGGTCTTCTCCTGATTTAACATTGTCAATTCCTCCAACTTTTTCTCAAAACAGGTAATGATTATTAGTTTCCTATAAACTGAGTAGTTAGACCTGTTGCCTTATTATGAGGATTTAAGAGGATATTTATCACTATGTAATAGTTCACAGTCTTTTAAACACAGGAGTAAGATAAGCAAGGAATGTCCTGTGATAAGCATCAGAATATAAGTAGTACATAAGAGCAGAGGAGAAGGCCAGGCATGGTGCTTCATGCCTGTAATCCCAGCACTTTGGAAAGCTGAGCTGGGAGAATCACTTGAACCCGGGAGGTGGAGGTGGCAGTGAGCCAAGATAGCACCACAGCATTCAAGCCTAGGACAGACCAAGGCTGTCTCAAAAATAATAATAATAATTTTAAACATAAGAACAGAGAGGAAGAAACGTTTTTTGCTAAATTATTTAGACCTACACTCAACAAAGTTAGGCAGTGAACTTATTCTATGAGACCTTATGTGCTCCGCTTTGCCAGAGAAAATTTTATGGTTTAAGAGTATTCCAGGCCGGGCGCGGTGGCTCAAGCCTGTAATCCCAGCACTTTGGGAGGCCAAGGAGGGTGGATCACGAGGTCAAGAGATCGAGACCATCCTGGTCAACATGTTGAAACCCGTCTCTACTAAAAATACAAAAAGTTAGCTGGGCATGGTGGCGCGTGCCTGTAATCCCAGCTACTCAGGAGGCTGAGGCAGAATTGCCTGAAGCCAGGAGGCGGAGGTTAAGGTGAGCCGAGATCGCACCATTGCACTTCAGCCTGGGTAACAAGAGCGAAACTCCGTCTCAAAAAAAAAAAAAAAGTATTCCAAGGAATAAAGTTTGTCAGATGGGCCAGCTGGGCTAATCAGCTAGACATTGCAGAAGATCAACAGTTCATTTCTGAAAAAGACTTTAGCACTCACTACATAGAATAACAGCTCCAATGGGACTGGATTAAAAGTAAAGACGAACTCTCCCTTTTATCCAGGATTATGGGGCTTTTCAAGGCAGACTCAGAGAAACCATACACTAGCTTTTTTGGCCAAAATAATCAAGCCAGACCCTCTCTGCAGACCCCAGACTCCACAGACAATAACCTTGCTAAGTATGTGAGAACCTGTCACCAAGCTGTCATTTCTTCTTGAACTCTGGTGAAATCTTTATTCTCTCACTATCATTTACAAATGGACAACTTGTGTTACCACTGGTGTTTTGCCTTATTGAAAGTACCCAGCACTACTCCAGCCCATCCTTTGTGTGCAACTATTTACCCCTGACAGCATGCTCTGAGAGGTTATGCAATAGATAAGTCATGGCCACTTCCACTAACTGTCTTTCACAGTATCTGTGGACAGCAGATAGCCAGGTTTTCTCTGAGACCCTGTTTCCCAGGCTGGAGTGGAGTGGCGCGATCTTGGTTCACTGCAGCCTCCAACTCCCGGGCTCAGGTGATCTTCCCACCTCATCTTTGCAAGTAGGTGGGATGACAGGTGTGCATTACACATCCAGCTAATTTTTGTATTTTTTTGTAGAGATAAGCTTTTGCCATGTTGCCAGAACTCCTGGATTCAAGCGATTCATCCGCCTTGACCTCCCAAAGCTCTAAGAATAAAGATGTGAACCACAATGCCCAACCTTAGGTTTTCTTAAGGAACTAACCTAATCATAAAAAAAATAAGCTGGAGTGTTTGTGTGGAAACCAGCCATGGATTTCAGCACTGAGGAGAGGGAGAGGCCAGACTTCTGGATTGAGGCCCCAGCCATGCCGGAAATGTGAGCATGACAGCTCCCTCTTCAAGAGCCCAATTTTCTCATCAGATGAATAAAGGACAGGGACTAGATCATCTGAGATCCCTGCAGGAAGTAAGCTACCTGACTCCTGCCAAAGACATTCTAGCAAATCCAAAAGGAAAAGTCCTAAATAACCTGGAATTCACAATGACCCAAACCAGGAGTTCCTGTTTTCCTTGTTTGGGTGGTGAAAAGATAAGCCACAGAAATGATCACGCAAAGTCTCACATTCAGTACCAGGATTCTGAGCCATGGACATGGAGAAAAGAAGAGGCATTTCCTCTCCCAGCTGCAACCCTTCCCTACCACAAGAACTAAAAACACACAAGATTCTGCAATGGGGAAGTTTCTGCTTGCCCTTAGCTAGGGACCTATGCAAGTCCAAAACCCCCAGGTTATCACTCCCAAACTTTCCTTTCACCCATCAGACTTCAGAACTGGAGAAAGCACAGTCCTAGGGGGAGCTGAATTAGGGGCTCACGCAAGACTGTACACTAAAGGCAAGAAAAAAAGAACAAGTCGTAATTCACTTGATTCTGAGCAAAAATAACTTGACCACCAAAGTCATGTTCTTGGGGGTGGGGCAAGTCTGCCTGGTGGGAGTGGGCCCGCCGCGGGGACCAGCCGGGGGCGTGCTCTTCCTGGCACTCCGAGAGCAGGTAGGTATTCAGGGCAAAAATGCACAATGCAACCCAAGTGCGTCACGCCACAGAGATCCCAGGGGAGGAAGAGACTGGTCCTGGCAGGTTCACCGCCCCTAACTGACCCAAACGAGGAGAATGGGCTGACACAGACCCCTGGTTCCTGGGCTGGTGAGGGCCGAACAAGACAATAGGACCATCACCATAAAAATGACAGGAAGAGGAAGATAAGTCCAGCCTTCGGGAATGGGGACAGGAGAGGAGGACAGATGGAGAACTGGAAGGAGCGCGCAGAGGTGGGGGTGTGGATTGACTCGGCCCGGGAGAGAATGCCCCAGATACGGGCAGAGACCCACGTCCAGCTTCCAGACGCTGCCGCGCGGGGACAGCCCCCTCCCGCCGGCCCGCCTGCCTTCCCCGCTCCCGCGCCCCGCACCGTGTTGTAGAACTCGGCGATGGCAGGCACGATGGTGTAGTTGTCCTCGCACCAGTCCACCTCCGAGCTGCCAGCCTGCAGCTGGTCCCACCAGTGCGGGGCGCCCATGGCCACTCTGGGGCATTGGAACAGCTGCTCCCGCAGCCGAGAAGAGCCCAGAGCTGCTGCGGAGACAACCCGCCGCGACAACCCGCGGCCACAGCGGCTTTGTGAAGTACCCGGCGGCCGCCGGATGTGCGCCTAGCAGCCGGCCTCCCGCGCTCTGCCCCGCCTCGCCTGCGGGACGTGACTCGCTCGCAGACCCTCCCAGGCCCCGCCCCCGTTGGGCCACGCCCATTATGGGGCGGGACCCACGCGAAAGGAGGGTCCGAGGTGGGGCCCGGAGGCAGGGACCCGGCTCCGGACGCTTCCAGACTACTCGGCACCCTGCAGGTGGCCGGGAGCTCGTCGGTGCTTACCCACCTCTGCCCACGCCCATCTCCTGGCTCTGGCTCGCAGGCGCCCCCGGATTGAAGGAACGCCAGAACTCTCCCTGGCAAAAAAATACAAAATGAAAATAAACCCAAGAGGACCCGGACCTGTCTGGATTCAGGGAGAGTTTGCAGCGATTTTGCTGCGCCGGACGTTGGACGCCAGTGCTCTCACTAGATAAGTGCCCTCAGTCCCTCCGAAGCCGGAGGCCACATGCTGCCGTCGCTGTGGCAGGAAGACCTTCCCGGCTGCTGGAGCAGGCTGTGCGGCCCCTTCCCCGGGGTAGCACTTCTATTTAGAGTACGTTCCTGCCCTCCCTCCCCTTGGCTCCAGCTTTAGGGTTTAATCTAGCCTAGGATATGGGGACTTCAGCAAAGGGTCAAACGTCAGCCATCCCAAACCGCAGAGGATGTTGTGTGACAGCTATGACATCGAAGTTCAAGAGGTGGATATGTTAATACATATGCCAGGTGCTCTCTGAAGAGCTTCCATGTATCTATCACTCAGTGTGCCCAGCAGAGATCCTGTGAGGTGCTTTTATTAGCAACCTCCTTCCATTCGGCGACAGAGCTGGAAATTCAATTCAGGCAAGACGTCATCTGATCCAGTTATAACTACTTTCCTTTGCTTCTCTAACTGTTGTACGGTTTCTAAATGAAAGCCAATCTGGTTCCCAGGATCCCTAGAGGAAAGCCACCCTCTGTGTGTATGTGGTGGCTCCTGCTCTCCTTCCTTGGAAGACTGTAGAATCCAGGTCAGGAGAGCGGCAGAAGAGGTCGTGGGCAGGTGACTGTCATTAGGACGTTTTGCTCAGACCCACAGGGTACCCTAAAGACCAGCAACCCTCTCTCTGGGCCGACTGCTCAACAGGACCCTGGATGGTGCTTCAGTTGTCCTGTCTAACAAGTGTTTGTCTGCCCACCGGTACCCACAGAGTCATGTGCACATCCCCAGAGATCTCCATCTCTGACAGAAACTGCAAGCCCTGTCTCCTCTCCTAGTCTCCAGAAAATCCAGGTTTGTCGAAGAGGGGTCAAACCACACCCCTCCTTTCATCTTTGTTCCAACTTCTATCCTTTCTTTCTGCTTGACAGGCAATTCCACTGCCTTCCAGAACCCAGGAAGAAGATACATTCTTACCTTCTCCTAGGGTCAAATTAACCAGACCTGCAGAATACCCAGTGTGAGCTCACCACCTAAGAAGGGCAGTTGGGGGTAGATGTTTCCCACAGCCACAGAAGAAAAATGCATCCGTTAATTTCTGTGTCTCAAAATGCTAGCCAACTGTTCAACAACAGAATTTTCCATGTAGTCAATATTTTACTTTTTCCAAAAACATTTTACTTGGAAATATATCCATATTCATCAAAATATAATATTTTTAAAAACCATTATTTTATATGCCAGTGATTCTCAAACTGTGGTTCCCCTTTTTCTTTTTATTCCCATTCTCTTACTAGTGTATACTGGAGTGTCGCAGAGGATACATGATGTGTGATGTCATTATCTCTCTGACAGCTAATGGAACACATGCTTGTGATTCTTCAGTATTAAAAGTCTGTTTAAATTTCTAATATGGTAACTATTGATATTACCACATAAACCATAAGTTCTCCAGTGTTCTCAATATTTTTTAAGAGTGTGAAGGGTTCCTCAGACTAAAAAGATTAAAAGCTGCTGTTAAAAAAAAGTATTCCTGGCCCAGTGCAGTGGCTCATGCCTGTAATCCCAGCACTATGGGAGACCAAGGCAGGCAGATCACCTAAGGTCTGGAGTTTGAGACCAGCCTGGCCAACTTGGTGAAACCCTGACTCTACTAAAAATACAAAAATTAGCCAGGCGTGATGGCAGGTTCCTGTAGTCCCCGCTATGGTGGGAGGCTGTGGCAGAATTGTTTGAACCCAGGGTGCAAAGGTTGCAGTGAGCTGAGATCGCACCATTGCACTCTAGCTTGGGCGTCACAGTGAGACTCCATCTCAAAAGAAAAAAAAAAGAGAAAGAAAAGAGAAAGAAAGCAAAAAAGTATCCCCAATTAAACTATTTGTAATTCTTTTTTTATTATTTAGAATTTTTAGGCCGGGCGCGGTGGCTCATGCCTATAATCCCAGCACTTTGGGAGGCCGAGGCGGGTGGATCACGAGGTCAAGAGATTGAGAACATCCTGGTCAACGAGGTGAAACCCCGTCTCTACTAAAAATACAAAAATTAGCTGGGCATGGTGGTGCACGCCTGTAGTCCCAGCTACTCAGGAGGCTGAGGCAGGAGAATTGCTTGAATCCAGAAGGCGGAGGTTGTGGTGAGCCGAGATCGTGCCATTGCACTCCAGTCTGGGTAACAACAGCGAAACTCCATCTCAAAAAAAAAAAAAAAGAATTTTTAGTGAGTGAGCACAGACTTAGACCTACATTTTTATCATACATCTCTTGTGCATACATAAGAAGGAAAGTATAAGCAAAAATAAATTCATTAAAGAACTCCTGTAATTTTTAAAAGGCTAGGCATGGTGCCTTATGCCTGTAATCTCAACACTTTGGGAGGCCGAGGTGAGCGGATCACGAGGTCAAGAGTTTGAGACCAGCATGACAGGGTGAAACCCTGTCTCTACTAAAAATACAAAAATTAGTGAGACTTGGTGGCACACACCTGTAATTCCAGCTACTCAGAAGGCTGAGGAACGAGAATTGCTTGAACCTGGGAGGCAGAGGTTGCAGTAAGCCAAGATCTCAACATTACACTCCAGCCTGGGTGACAGAGTGAGGCTTTGTCTCAAAAAAAAAAAAAAAAAAAAAAAAAAATCAATAATTTCTTTACATTCAGAATCTCTATTTTTCTTCTGAGTCATTTTTCAGCTTACAGTCATTGGTGTCTGTGTCGTTCATACAGAAATGTCCTCTGTGTCCTTAATTACTACGTACTAATAATGCAGCATTCCTTAAAACGATTCCACTACTGTTTTCTTGCAAACTACTGACACCTGTCTTACAAATTTTGATGCTGAGACTTTCCTGATCTTAACCGAAAGTGTCAGTGGAAGGTTTCCAGACAACAGGCAGCATGTGTCTTTTCCAGATGGTCCTTATATAATCTGTTGAGAGAAACATGGAGATTACAGTGGCCAAGTCATCCCACCAGGAATAACCAACAAGTTTGTACATGTGCCGGCAGTGACACCACATCACAACCATGACCTCGCCAACCATAATCCTAAAACGCCATCCATGGTAAATGCATCAGGATTTCAGAGATTTAACAATGCAAAATAATATGAGTTTTATCACTGTGAAATATTAAATTTGCTGAACATAATTCATCCTTCTTTTCAAGTCTTGCTAAGGGAATGATGGGAGTTTTTCATCCTCCACAGTAACTCTTATTGTCAGTGACAATTCTAGTTCAAAATCAGAGTCAGCCACCTTGGTTCCTTCTAGCTGCAACTGCACAGAGATAGTTCTTGAGCCACACTGTCTCTAAAATTTTGTTTTCATAGCTCTCTCCATTGTGAACATTGTTAACTGTTTTTTGTTTTTGTTTTTGTGTTTTTGAGACAGGGTATCACTGTTACCTGGGTCGGAGTGTAGCAGTGCAATTACAGTTTACTGCAGCCTTGACCTCCGGGACTCAAGCGATCCTCCCAGCTCAGCCTCATGAGTAGCTGGGGCCACAGGGGTGCACCACAATGCCCAGCTAAATTTTGTATGTTTTGTAGAAAGAGGTTTCATTGCGTTGCCCAGGCTGGTCTCGAACTCCCAGGTTCAAGCGATCCCTCCTTGAGCCTCCCAAAGTGCTAGGATTATAGGAGTGAGCCGTTGTATCCAGCCAACATTTTAAAAATAAATACATTTAGTAATTTAACATGACGGCCTATCAGGCGGTTATAAATTTTTAAATGATTTATATTAATTGCATGATGCGTTAGCAACTACTGCTAGTGGTTGAATATAAAATTCTGATGTCTACTGTAAACTGAGTTTGTTGGGGAAACAATGTAGTGACAGCAGGGAACAGAACTACCGAGTTCCAACCATTTGGCTTATGATCCTTTTGGCCTACATATGACTCAGTGATACAGATCCACCAAGGAGCAGGTTTGGAGGAACAGCCTTTGCAAAAAATTCAGAATGCCAGCACCTTCTATTTTTACACAGTATATAACAATATTTATTTGGTATAAGTAAATATCTGATAGTAAATAGCCAGTTCAACTGGTTCCACAAGTGGAAATTATCAAGGCACAAAATCTTCCCTGGGGAAAAAAACACAGGCACCTGTGTAAATGAAGCAAGAAGTACCTGATGAAAGATGAAGTTTTCTTTACCTTCCTGTTTGGCTGGAGTTTTTCACTGTGGTCCTGCTTGTGGCCCATTGTTTAGGCCAGTGGTTCTTAAGGCCAGCCCAGCAGCAACAGCATCCCCTGGGAATCTTTTACAAATGGGAGTTCTCCAGTCCCCACCCTAGAACTATTGGATCAGAAACTCTGGATGGAGCCCAGCAACCTTTGGCTTCACAAGCCCTCAGGTAATTCTGACTCATGCTCAGGCTCGTGCTGAGAAAACCAGGGCCTCTGAGTCTGCCCTGGACCCCTTCAGCTCAGAGGAAGAAAGGAGAAGCCAGCAAGACTGCTTGTTTTGCTAAAATCTGAGGCAGTTTTCAGGCTCAGACTTGTAGATGAGAGTTGTAGGAAGCAGGTCCTCACTGGGGAAACACTGCTGCAGCCACTGCAGAAGGCGCTTGTATTAGCTGGGACAGGCGCCACTCCTTTACTGACAGGCCATTGGTGGTAACTTCTGCTGTTGTCAGTAGGCCCCTATTTAGAAGTGCCTCTCTTGGGTTTGTTTCCTTTTTGTAGAGATGGGGTCTTGCTATGTTGCCTAGACTGGTCTCAAGCGATCCTCCCACCTTGGCCATACAAAGTGCTGGGATTACAGGTGTGAGCTGCCACACCCAGCCAAGATCACAAAGGTAGCAAAGGACGGTTTCCATCCATCGACCTCTGGGTTATGAGCCCAGCACACTTCCATTGCACCACTCTGCTATTCCCTCTCTCCTTTTTCCAATCAGCACTAGAAAACGGCAATGTTAATCTCTCCCCTTTTTCTAATCTGCACTAGAAAACCACAATGTTGGGTGTAAAATCCATAAGAGTAAATTCTAATGGCCAATTCCTGAAGGGCAAAGAATTTAAGTGTGTTTTGACTTCTGCTTCTGGCTACATAAGGCGTTACTCTGAGAATCATAGCTTGCAAAGATGCAACAAGCAATTTTTGAACATCTGCTTTGGACACTATATGACCAATAAAATACTGGTGTGGCCTCATGGAACTTATTCTACGAGAGGCACACAAACCGTTAGACTGAAACATGATAATTGCTATAATGGAGAAGCATATATGGAAGAAGAGGAACAGGGCACCAAGTCTGCACTGAGCATCATGGGAGGTTTGGCAGAGGAGGTAGCCTCAGAACTGATATTTATAAGATGAATAGGATTTTACCAGGGAGAGCACTTGGGGGAGGGAGCAAATCCTACAGAAGGAACAGCCCATGCAGAAGAATAGAGGTCTGAGAAAGCATACACAATCAGGAAACTTCTGAAGAGGAACCTGACCTAGAAAAGCAATAGATGATTTGAAGAGTAAGTCTTTTTTTTTTGAGACAGGCTGGAGTGCATTGTCACTATCTTGACTCACTGCAACCTCCACCTCCTGCGTTCAAGCAGTCCTCTGCCTCAGCCTCCCAAGTTGCTAGGATTACAGGTGCACACCACCATGCCCAGCTAATTTTTGTACTTTTAGTAGAGATGAGGTTTCAGCATGTTGGCCAGGCTGCTCTCGAACTCCTGACCTCAAATGATCTGTCCGCCTCAGCCCCCCAAAGTGCTGAGATTATAGGCGTGAGCCACCACACCTGGCCAAGAATAAATCTTTTTTTTTTTTTTTTTTTTTTTAGAGGGGGAGGAAGGCAGGAAGGGAGAGAAGAAGGACGGTAGGGAGGAAGGAAGGGATGAAGGAAGGAAGGAAGGGAGGAAGCGGGAAGGGAGGGAGGGAGGGAGGGAAGGGAAGGAAGGGAATCAAGCAATGAGAGAGACATTGCCGACCTGGATCTAAAGGTTTACAAGTTGATTTCTTTTTTTTTTTTGAGAGAAAGGAAGAAAAAAAAATAAGTAAAGGAGAAGAAGAAAGAGGAAAAGAAAGAGGGAGAGTAAATGGAAATATTGCTTTATTTTGAAAAAAATTGGGTATTAATAATGGCCCATCAATGTTTCATTTAAACTTATGGGTAGGTGTGGTGTGGTATTGACTAAAATGTATATTTTGTGTATTTGAAGTGGAGAGCTCTATAAATATTTATTAGGTTTACTTGTTCCAGATCTGAGTTCGAGTCCTTGATATCCTTATTAATTTTCTGTCTCATTGAATCTGAGTCTCGTATCTGGGTGTTAGGATCGTTAGCTCTTGTTGTTGCATTGATCCTTTTACCACTATATCTTTGTTGTTTTAAAATCTATTTTATCCGATACGAGAATTGCAACTCCTGCTTTTTATTTATTTATTATTTATTTTTGCTTTCCATTTGGTTGGTAAATCTTTCTCCATCCCTTTGAGTCTTTGTGTATCCTTGCATGTGAAACAGGTCTGGATGTAACATGCCGTTGGGTTTTGGCTGTGTCTTTTGATTGGGGGATTTAGTCAATTCAAATTTAGGGTTACTGCCATTTGATGTTGACTGGCTGTTTTATCCATTGGTTGGTGTAAATTCTTCTTTATGTTGGTGCTCTTTACTTTTTGGTGTATTTTTAGAAAGGCTAATACTGGTTGTTTCTTTCTGTGTGTAATGCTTCTTTCAGAAGCTCTTGTAAAGCAGGCCTGGTGGTAATAAAATCTCTGAGTTCTTGCTTGTTCATAAAATATTTTATTTTTCCTTCAGTTGTGAAGTTTAGTTTGGCTGGATATGAAATTCTGGGCTGAAGGTTCTGTTCTTTGAGGATGTTGAATATTGGCCCCCACTCTCTTCTGGCTTGTAGAGTTTCTGCTGAGAGATCTGCTGTAAGTCTGATAGGCTTGCCTTTGTGGGTAATCTGACCTTCCTCTCTGGCTGCCCTTAGTATTTTCTCCTTCGTTTCAACCCTGGTGAATCTAACGATTATGTGCCTTGGGGTTGCTCTTCTTGAGGAATATCTTTGTGGTGTTCTCTGTATTACCTGGGGTTGAATGTTGACCTGCTTTGCTAGTTTAGGAAAATTTTCCTGAATTATATCCTGAAGGGTATTTTCCAGCTTGGATTCATTCTCTCCGTCGCATTCAGGTACACCTATCAAACGTAAATTTGGTCTTTTCACATAGTCCCACATTTCTTGGAGATTTTGCTCATTCCTTTTTATCCTTTTTTCTCTAATCTTTTCTTCACGTTTTATTTCATTAAGTTGGACTTTGACCTCTGATATCCCTTCTTCTGCTTGAACAATTTGAGTGTTTAAACCTGTGCATACTTCTCGGAGTTCCTGTATTGTATTCTTCAGTTCCATTATTTCACTCATACTCCTCTCTAAGTTGTCTATTCTCAATAGGAGTTCATCAAACCTTTTTTCAAAGTTCCTAGTTTCTTTACGTTGGGCTACAACATGTTCTTTTAACTCACCGAAGTTTGTTATTATCCATTCCTTGAAGAGTGATTCTGTCAGCAGGATGCGCTCGTTCTCCATCAAGCCTTTTCCATTGTTGATGTGGAACTGTGATCATCTTTAGAGGGAGAGGCGTTCTGACTTTGAGTATTCTCAGCTTTTTTACGCTGGTTTCTTCCCATCATTGAAAATTTATCCTCCTGTTGTCTTTGAAATTACCAACTTTCAGATTAGGTCTCTTGAGTGGACGTCCAGGTTGTTAGTTCCCAGGGCCAGAGCAGTGGCGTTAAAACTGATGGTGCTTTTCTGCCCAGCATTCTCCCGTCTGGCTTCCTTCTTGTGTCCGTAGTAGGCGACTCTGCCTTCCTGGGGCTCCAAACCTCGGTCAGAAGGGGAACCGGTCCCGTTTACTCTGCGCCGAGCGCTGCCGCGCCAAGATGCCGTCACAGCCGCTGCGCCGGGCTCTGGTGTCCTGCTGGGGACCCGTGCGTGTCCTCCGAACCTGTTTACTCTGCTCCAAGAGCTGCCGCGCCGAGGTGCCCGCGGAACCGCTGCACGAGCCACGAGAGTCACGCTGGCCACCCGTGTGTTTCCTCCACTGGGGGATCTCTGCTCCGTGACTGACTAGAATTTATCTGAAAGTGTGGCGTCCTCTAGTTCTCCGCACCTTCCCTGAGAGCTGCAATCCCGGGATGTTAGCTATCGGCCATCTTGGATCGTTCCAAGAATAAATCTTTAAGAAGGAAAATCCTGATGGCAGAAAAATAAATTAGATTTCTAAAACTACTGGTATGGTCTTTCAGTAAACCAAGTGAAGGATGATATGGGCATGACTAAGGCATTCATTCATTCCTTTACATGCTGCTCTATGACAGATAGTTTTCTAAGTGTCAAGGTTTAAATGGTGAGAAAAACAGATACTTCCTCTACCCTCACTGAGCTTTCAGTTTAGGGGATGTCAGAAATTAAATCAGCATAAATAATGCAGTTGTGTCACGTGTGTCATGAAGTACAAGTTCACAACAGCCAAGAGCAGTAGATGTGACCTAGTTTGAGGGCATCAGAGATGTCTTCCCTGAGGAAGCTGAGAGAAGTCAAGTTTTAGGCAGGGGTAAAGGAAATTGGAACAAGGGATGCAACTGAAATACAAAATGACAACTATGATAGATTATACCATTGAGTCCAGATATTTGACATACTTTCTTAGTCCATGAGTATGGGACTTGGCTTTGTCATTTGCTATGGTCATTGTATTAATCCCTTTTCATGCTACTGTTAAAGACATACCTGAGACTGGGCAATTTACAAAAGAAAGAGGTTTATTGAACCCACAGTTCCACATGGCTGTGAAGGCTTCACAATCATGGCAGAAGACATGGAACAGAAAGTCATGTCTTACATGGATGGCAGCAGGCAAAAATAGAGCTTCTGCAGGAAAACTCCAACTTGAAATAACCATCAAATCTCATGAGACTTACTATTACAAGAACAGCAAAGAAAAGACCTGCCCTGATGATTCAATTACGTCCCACAGGGTCCCTCCCACAA